TTTCTTTCTTTCTTTCTTTCTTTCTTTCTTTCTTTCTTTCTTTCTTTCCTTCCCTCCCTCCCTCCCTCCTTCCTTCCTTCCTTCCTTCCTTCCTTTTTTTGTCTGTTTTCTTTCATAGTGTGAGTAATATAGAAATATGTTTTGCATGATTGTACATCTACATCTATACCCAATTGCTTGCCTTCTCAAGGAGGAGAGGGAGGGAGAGAATTTAGAACTCAGAATTTTTAAAAATGAATGTGAAAAGTTATTTTTACATGTAATTTGAAGAAATTTTTTTTAAAAAGAATACATTCCTTCATCTGTAGTTGGAAGACTTTTAGTTTGTTGTTTTCATGTGTCTTTGATGATTTTTTTTTATATCACTCGCTTCCTTGTCATATAGGTTGTTCTCCTGGTTCTGCTTACTTTGCTTTGCATCAGCATATGCGAGTCTTTCAAGGTATCATTTTCCACCATGCAGTGATATTCCGTTGTATTCACGTACCACAGTTTGGTCAGCCATTCCCTAGTTCTTTGCTACTGCAAAAAGTGCTGCCAACAATATTGTTGTATATGCGAGATCTTTCTTTCTCTCTTTGATCTCTTTTGGGTCTATACCCACTGATGCTATCATTGAGTAAAAAGGTTTGTATAGGTCAGAGACTTTTTTGGTTTAATTCCCAATTAGATTCCAGAATGGTCCAGCCATTTCACATCTCCATCAACAGTGCATTGAAAGGCTTATTTCAAACAAATTACTCCCCCCAAACAGAATGAATTATGGGAAGTTCTGAAAGAAAGCCATGAACTGACCTCCAAAGCACTAATTTCCTGATTTTTGTTGTTGCTAAGCAAACACACCCAATGTAGATGTTTTTTCTGTGGACTTTGGTGGTTCTGTCTTTTTGTTGGCTTGGGGACTGTCAATGCGGTAGGTGGACAGAGCCCAGGAAGACCCAGCTTTCAGTCTTGTCTCTAATATCTATGAAATGTGTAGGTAGACCTGAGCCTCAGTTTTCTCATCTATTAAATGGGGACAGATCTATACTGCCTCTCCCCCTTTGCCTTTGTGCAGGTCATCCATATCTGGAATGCTCTTCCTCCTCACCTGTGCTTCTTGGAATCCCTAGCTCACTCCCAGGCTTGGTTCAAGGACACCTCTTACGTGTTAGTGCTCCATCTCTGCCCCACCTGAAGTTCTTTGCAATTTCTGCTGAGGCCCAGCCTTGCGATTTGATTAGTGTGGGAATTCCCTCCATGGATGCAGATGAGCTGCTTATCTGTAGCTCTGAGTCTTAGAAAGTTGTCCATGTCAGAGGTAGAGCTTGAACCCAGTTTTTCCCTATTCCAGCATCATATATCTGCTTTGTCTGTATTTTGTATTTGCTTATCTGCCTGCATGTTATATGCCCCTGATAAAACGTAAGCTCTTTGAGTAAGGGGGCTATTTCGTATTTACCCTTCTGTACCTAACACCTAGTTGTGGTGCCTTGCCCCCAAGGACAGAGAAACACAGCATTTCAGAGTTTGAAGGGGCCTCAGGGTCCATCTGGTTCAAACAGCCCCTGCCAGAGCATCCCCACTGTAGCACACTCACATTCATCTTGCTCACTCAGCCTTGACTTACAGACCTCTCCGCGATGGAGAACTGACTGCATTCAGAGGCACAGCCCGTGCCACCTTAAGACAGCTCTTATGGACATGAGGTTTGCCTTGGTATCAAATCAGATTTTTTTTTTTTAAAAAAGGCAATTGGGATTAAGTGACTCGCCCAGGGTCACACAGCTAGCAAGTTTCTGAGGCCAGATTTGAACTCAGGTCCTCCTGACTCCAGGGCTGGTGCTCTATCCACTGCGCCATCTAGCTGCCCCCAAATCAGACTCTTTTTTGACCTCCCCTGACTGCTCAGGGGTCAGGCAGAACAAATCTTTTCTCTTTTCCTCATGACATCTTTTCAAAACTTGAATATAACTCTTCTGTCCCCCTATGTCTTCCCAGAGAGATGAGGTTGTGAGTAGAGGGGTATAGAGTCAGGGGGACACAAACAGTCAAAGACAGAGAAGGGAAGAAAGGATGGATAGAAGCAGGTGACATACAGAGAGAGATGGGGGGATACAAGGAAAGGAACGGAAAACAAAGAGAGAAATATGGGAGGGTACCCAGAAAGAGATGGGATGATAGAGAGAGATGAGGGATACACAGGAGGAAGGGGTGGAGAAAGATGGGGTGACACACAGAGAGCCAAGCTGACGTAGTAAAAGCTGGGAGCTACAGAGAAATAGAGAGAGGGATGGGAGATTTAGAGAGATGTAAGACACAGAGAGACACATATGGGGGACAGTTGGATCCAGAGAGAGAAGAGAAGTGAGAAGATAGGGGGACACAGAAAGAGAAATAAGGACAGATACGGGGTCAGAAAGATGAGAGAGGACACAGGCGGATAAAGAAAGCAGACAGAATGGGGGTCACAGAGGGCTGGGAACATAGGGAGGAGAGAATAGAAAAGAGGGAGAGTGAGAAACATTGAGGGACTGGGAGACAGAGAATGACTTCCATCAGAAGCCTGCTCCTTAGGACAGGTGAGTGAGTGCAGTCAAGCAAGAGACCCTGATGTGGATCGCTGGTGCCTCTTTTTGCACCTCTCACCTGGCATGTCTTTGCTAAGAACTGGGACGTGTAATTCAGCGTCAGTCCCCTAGGCTCATGCCTGCTCATTTCCTTTGTAACCTCATCATTATGTAATTTGTTCTGGTTCTGCTTACCTCGTTCTGCATCAGTTTATAAAAATGCTCCCGGGTTTCTCTGAATCCATCGCTTTCCTCATTTTTTATAGCACAGTAACATTCCATTATATTCACATACCACAATCTGTTCAGCCATTCCCCAACTGATGTTCACCCATTTTCCCCCACTTCTTTGCTGAAGGTTGCTGATAAACAACCGTGATGCTCCATTGGCCATGTCATGTGACAAGCTTTTTTTTCTTTCTTTCTTTTTTTTTTTTTTTTAAAGTGAGGCAGTTGGGGTTAAGTGACTTTGCCCAGGGTCACACAGCTAGTAAGTGTCATGTGTCTGAGGCCGGATTTGAACTTAGGTCTTCCTGACTCTAGGGCCTGTGCTCTATCCACTGCATCACCTAGCTGCCCCTCACTTCTTTGCTACAACCAGAAGTGTTGGTAAAAATATTTTTGTGCATGTA